GGAAGTCTGGGGCAAGAACACAGCCTTGGTTCTCCTATAGAGTGAGGCGGGTTGGGGTGGGGGTGGGGAAGTAGGTAAAGAATGGAAGAGGGGAGGGCGAGGAGGAGGGAAATCAAGAGGAAGAGGTGTAAGGAGGGAAGTCGGGAGGAAGGGAGAGGTGGGAAATCAGAAGGGAGAGAAGGCAAAGGATGGAACAGAGACGAAGAAAGGAAATCAAGAGAGACGAGAGAAGAGAGTCAGGAGGAGAGAGGAGAGAAGGAGGGAAGCCGGGAAGAAGGCAGAGAAGGAGGGAAGAGAAGAAGGAAACTGGCAAAGTAAGCGCTGATTTCCGACGTCTCGCGAGCGTCTCTGGCCGTAGATACGCCTCTGAAATCTCTATGACGTCACCGGCCGGCTGGCCCGGAAATCGGTCTTTTAAATGCTGCGGTTTCACACACAGGGGCGCCGTTGGGCCGGAGGGAGGGGGAGCCCACCCCTCACCCCAATGCCCTGAATCTTTGTTTACATCGGATTTCAATCGTTCTTCAGTCACCAACTAGACCTCCCTCGAACTCTTGCCTTCCCCACCAGCTGACGGAGGCCACGGCGGAGGCGCTGGTCCCTGGCCAGCGGAGGGCACCGCCTGCTGCATCCTCTCCTGACATTTCTCTCGGCGAAATCCCGGTGCAGCCGAGCATGCCGCGCCGGAGACGTGTTTTTGCCGGCCTCGTCTGGAGCGATTGCGACCTTCCAGAGCCTCCGCACCTTGGCAGCCGGCGGAGCTCCACATGGCGAGAAAGGCAGGAGGAAGTGGCGGTGGTGGTGGAGGAGAAGGAGGAGGAGGAGGCGATGGCGGTGAAGGTGAAGGTGAAGGAGAAGAGAAGAAGAAGAAGAAGAAGAAGAAAGAAGAGAAGAAGAAGAAGAAGAAGAAGAAGAAGAAGAAGAAGAAGAAGAAAAGAAGAAGAAGAATGAAGCGTAGGCAATGAAAGGTAAACACGGCGGGCCAGTGAACACCCTCAAACGGCGGCGGAGGCGAGGCCGCGGGCGCCCGAGGAGCAGCAGCCGCCCCGGGAACGCCGCCCGCGCCTTCGCCGCCTGGGGAACGCCGCGGCAGTGTGGCTTACCTGTTTGCGCTTGGGTTGGCCCGCCGGGTCGAACTTGCTCTTCGGCCTTGAGGGCAAGGGCCTTCAGGGGGACCAGGAGCAGGTAGGTGCGCCAATTCTCGGCATCGAAGCCCCAGTGGATTGTCTGGTTCTCGAGGGACCTGTGGGCGTGGCAGACGAAACGCGCGGGCGGGAACAGGCCGTGGCACTCCTCGCACTCGATGCAGGCGGCGCTGGCGGAGGCGTACAGGTCGTCCCACACCAGGCCCTTGCACTTCCCGAAGCAGGTGTGGTACACCCGGAGCTGCGGACTCGCCTGCTGCGACTGCGCGGGTGCGGGCGCGGGCGAGCGGGAGGGATGGGCGTAGAGCAGGGCCTGCGTCAGCCTCTGGGCGTCGGTGTGGGTGATGAGGCCGCAGGACGTGGCCGTGTGCGGCAGGACGCCCGCCACGCGGAGGGCGTCCAGCTGCGAGGGCGTGGAGCGCGAGCAGAAGATGCGGAGTTCGTCGCACACGTTGTTGATCTGCCACAGCGAGAACTCCCGCAGCACCGTGTTCAGGATCTGCGGCAGGCACAGGCGCCGCTCGCCGCCCACGTTGAAGCAGGCGATGGGCTCGCCGTCCAGCAGGGTCTCCTCGCAGCCCCTGCTGGAGCCCGGCGAGCCCTTGTCGGCCGCCGCCAGCACCGGCCACGGCTGCGGCGGGAAGGGCGCGGGCGCCAGGAACACGCCCGGCTCCACCCACGACCCGCCGAAGCCCGCGCTACTGTCGGAGGCGCTGCCGGCGGCGGGCGACTTGATGCTGGCGGCGCCGGCGGTGGGCGCGGAGGGCGCGGCGGCGAGGGCGTCGGCGGGGGCGGGGGGTGTGGGTGGCGGGGCGGGGGTTGGGGGAGAGGGGGAGCGAAGGGGCGCTGCCGAAGGAAGGGCGCCGTCAGGGTCCTTCCCCTCCGGCAGGTCGGGCTCCCTGGCGGAGGGCGTGGGCGGGCGGCGCGTGGGCGGGCTGGACGGCGCTGGGCCTCGCCTGCACTCGGCGGCGTCGTCGGCAGCGCACCGCCGGGGGCTGTCCTCGACCTTGTTCTTGAGGGAGTCCTCGTACAGCTTGATGCACTGCTTAAAAGACTTAATGTTATCCTCGCCGAAATCGGTCACCTTGTCGCTCACGCCCCTGCCGCCCGCGACGTTCAGGTAGATAGTGCCAGGCCCGTGGAGACTAGTCATGGCTGTACTCTGGTACGAGCGCAGCACTCGCTTGAGATGCGGGGTGTAGTCCTGCGTTGCCATGATGGCGATTTCCTTGCACAACTGGGTATGCACGCACTAGCACATGATCATCACTGCACTCACTGCGGTGTGAAGCCGCGACGCACGAACAACATCCTCTTACCTCGGTGGCTGGTCACTTACTGAACGCCGTGGCCGC